CCGGTACGTGGCAGCACGTTTCAAATCTAGAAATGTCGGACGTAGTTTTATCATCTCCCATAAGAGCCCATGTTAAATGAAATAAGATTCCGTTCTGTTTGTTCTGTGTTATTATCGCTAGTCACAGTAATTTGAGATAGAAAATTCCAGACGAGCGATAAATAACATAGATAATACTCCTTTATACTTCTAAGATCATATTAATCAAACCAATAATAAAAATCCACAATAATGTTATTATTTTTATATTATAAAATTAGTTTAGAATTATTGATTTGTACATTTGATTACGTGAAATATACAAAATTGAAAAAAATTGCAAAAACATTAAAAATTGCAATAAATTGCAACATAAAATTAAACAGAAAGACAGTAATTAATACAAATCGTGTACATATTTGATCAGATTTGATTTATCTTAACTACAAAAAAAGTTGCAATATCAATTAAATCCGTTCTTTACACATGTGCAATTTGTTTCATGAAACAGGAAATTTATTTCGTTACTTAAAAACGCGTGTATTTAAATGGAGCAACACACACTGGTGTTTCCGAAACGTTATCTCAAAAATATTTTGTAAACAAATTTCATGAAACCAAACCAGTTTTGTTTCATAATATGTAATTGTTTCGTCATTTCACTGACAACTCCCGCGCAGTTCACGACATAAAATAGGTATGTACAAATATTATAATTTATAATTATTTATATCGTGATAGTGGTTAACAGTATTAACTACTTTTTTAAACTTTCTTTTTTTAAAATTATGTTATATAGGATCGGGAAAAGTACATTTATCAATAGGTTAATAATAAAAATGTAAAAAAAAGAAAATAATGCAATACCTATGTGTTTTGGTCAAATATTCCCGAGTAACAATTCAAGTTCAGACAATGTTCAGTGATATCTATTTTGAGTGTCGGACACAGTGCTATATTGGTTCACAGAAAGTTTTTTGTGAAAATTTGAATACCGAATTTTTACATGGACGACACCGTGCAGTATACATTCTATGGTAAAATAAAACACCATGCATGTGTGTTCTTATTTACCGTGTTGAATCGATGCAATAGTCAGTTCAGAAACAGTGCATGGGTGTTCTTATTTACCGTGTTTAATCGGTTCAGTGGCCAGTTCAGAAACCGTGCATGGGAGTTCTTATTTACCGTGTTTATCAGTTTAGTGATCAGTTCAGAAACCGTGTATGGGTGCTCTTATTTACCGTGTTTAATTGGTTTAGTGGTCAGTTCAGAAACCGTGTATGGGTTACATAACCTGTACTATAGTGCCATGTTTTATTCACACCCGTTGTTACAGTTAAAATTGTAACTGTGCTATGGTGCACATTAAAAATTGATGTATATATCAAAATATTTTTTAAATTGTATTCGTTTTTACATAATATATTCGTTATGTAAAAAAAAATACCAAGAATGGTAGCGGGTGGTTGAACACCCCATTCCACCACCCACTAGTAAACGTCACTGCAATGGTGGTTTTACTACAAAACTATACTAGTTTTCATTGTATACTAATTAAAATATTAATTATTAAAAAATTTAAAAAAATGTATCCATACTTATAATTATATATTATAAGTATAAAATAAAAAAATAATATTAGCCAAATGAAAAAATAAAATCTTGAGATATAAAAATGTTATTATAATATAAACAAATAATAATGCTTCTCATACAACTATTAGAATAATCATGTATATTTTGAAATATAAGGTTATTCAAGTTAGTAAGTTTAATAGTAATTATAAGAGTAATAATAATAATAATAATAATAAGACTAATATTATGTAAAATAAAAAAATTGTATAATATAACAAAAAATTACTTCTGATGCAACTAAAAAAAAAAAATGTTACCTTTCATATTTTAACAAAATAAAAAAAAAATGAAAAATAAAATAAATGTTATAATAAATAATATGCTTCTTGCACTAAAAGAATAACACAAGTTAGTTATTTATCATTTTTCTTTGGTTGGCTGGTTGGGGCATGACGAATATAGTTATCGGCTACTTTGTGAAAATTAATTTCGTCATTTGCATTTGATATGAAACCGGACATAGCTTCTATAACAATAAAATAATGATAAATTAATTAGAATTTTTAAAGAAGACACTAAATTGGGGCTATACGGAACTTTAAACAAATAATATAGCAGTGGTGGATCCAAGGATTAATTTTTTTTTGCTGAATGGCATGGGGGGAGGCAAAAGTACAACAAGTTCAATAATAAACACCACAGTGTACAACAAAGGGAAACTACGGTGATTAGGCTGACAAATGCCCCCTTTGCCTCTCCCTGGATCCGCCACTACAGTATAGATAAAAATAGTTCAGAATATCTCATTTAAAACGTATACCTATTTAATACAACCCAAAATATACATTTTATGTTCTGTACTTTATGCCATGGCCCATTTTGTTATAAAATAAATTAAAATATTTCTAAACTCACCATAAATGATACTATAGAGATTTAAATCAATAAACTTTTTTTAGTTTTTCCTCTGTAACTAAAATGTTTTAAAACATTAGACGTAAAACAAATATCGATTGCTCCTCTAAGTGCTGCACTTAATGACTTTTTTCCAACTCTTAGTAATATGTAGGTTTTCTGAAATAATTAATGGTGTACTCATTATATAATATTATTAACTATTATTATTTTATTGCAAGCAAATAATGAAAAACTTACTAATTCTTCCCTATTCTTTAATGATTCACTATTGGCATTATTACTTAATAACTCTTCAGCAAGGGCAAGGTCTTCTAAATTTGTTGATGGTAATAGCTGCATGAACGGAGATGGCAAATTTGGTAAAGGCATAGCTAATACACGCATTCGACAATCAGACATTAATATTTTTTCTAAAAGTTTCCCATTACTGTGAACAACTGATGCTAGTCTTGATAGAGACCCATTTATCATTATTAAATGGGTCATTATTTTTTCATCGCGAGTCTTATAATTTTGTTCTTGGTTTAATTGAGTTGTAATAAGTTGATCGATTTTATTTTCTATAATTTTTAAATAATCTAAAAGTAAATAATATTGTATAGATTAATTATATTACTTATTATATTTCAATAAGTATAATTTAATAAGAAGTATAAATATTTCAATATGTTCATGTTAAGTTTTAATTTAATAAAACCTATTAACTCATAAAATATATAAGTGTCATTATTATGCTAACTAATTACAATTATGTTAACAACCTAATTACATTTGTAATTATATAAATCAATATATCATATTAATATCAAAATTATAATATTTAGGTAAATTATATTTGAATGAACAACTATATTTGTATTACAACTAAATATTAACAAATACAAACTTAAAACAATTATTTAAAACTTATTACAGTGGACGCCGCTTATAATACTCACATTGGGACCAGCACAAAGTGAGTCTTATAAGTTATAACCGAATGAATCTTATAGGCGAAGTGGGAAAAAAAATTAATTACATATTTATGAATTTTATTTTACTACATATTTATTGAATGCAGATAATAAATGAAAAAAAATGTGATTTTGTTTTTTTTTTTTTAGTTATAAACTAATATTTCTAAAATATATTGGAAAATGTGAAAGACGATACAATTTATTGTTTACATACACACATAATAAAGCAAAAAACATTAATTTATTTCTAAATTTTGACCAAAAATGTTTATTTTTTACTATTCTTTTTTTTTTTTTTACAAAATTTGAGTCTTATAACCGAATTTTTTATAACGTATTTGGATACGTCTGGACCGTTTCAGACAATTTTGAGTCTAATAAGCGACTGCACCTCATATCCGTGAGTCTTATAAGCGGCGTCCACTGTATAAAGTTTATTAAACTTTACAAATTATAGATATATATTAAATTAACTGCAGGAATAATTAAGATCATACCTATACAGTATACCTACACATACCTTTATAACAGGATATTTCATAGAGGGGGGGGATACATAATTGTTAAGATAAATCACAAGGGATATAGTGCACCCCGCACTAATATTAAATATAAAAAGTGGGAAAGTGGATACTGATGTTCTGTAGAGTATGATTCTAGATAAGTAAATTTAGAAATGTATTGACATTAATTGTAGACAAAAAAACTAAAAATCTCTTTTATAGGTAATATAGATCCAAATAAATCCAAATATTTTGAAAATTTTCAATTTTCATGTACAGAAAATGATAATATAAACATTCGGTAAAAATATAATATATTATATGTTTTAGTAATAATTTGAGAATATCTTCTATTTTTATGAGACAAATGTGCATAATAATATATTATATATTTAATACATACCATTCTGATTATCAATGGAAACATTTTGATTGCAAACAATTGAATGATCTGTCATATCATCATTGTTATTGGACATAATTGTATAATCATCTTCATTGGCATTTTTCAAAAACTCAAATAATTCCTGGCTCGTATCTAATTTTCATTTTAAGGGCATTTAAAAGTTTAAATTAAATTTAACACGTGAACTATAACAAATAAATAAATGTATCAACACCAAAAAAAAAACATTTATTTATCTTACCATTAGACACAAAATCATTATTAACTTCAGTATTGGAAGTTGACTGTAATAATAGTTCTGTGGATTCGTTTTGACACAAGTGAATAGTTGCATCTAAAATAGTTTATAATTCAAAATAATATTACTTATAATATTAACACATAATACATATATAGTAAGTATAATGTTAGTATATACAATTTATGTTCCTTACCATTATATGACAAATCTTTAGTAACTTCACTATTGGAAGTTGACTGTAATAATAGTTCTGTGGATTCGTTTTGACACAAGTGAATAGTTGCATCTAAAATAGTTTATAATTCAAAATAATATTACTTATAATATTAACACATAATACATATATAGTAAGTATAATGTTAGTATATACAATTTATGTTCCTTACCATTATATGACAAATCTTTAGTAACTTCAGTATTGGAAGTTGACTGTAATAATAGTTCTGTGGATTCGTTTTGACACAAGTGAATAGTTGCATCTAAAATAGTTTTTAATTCAATAAAATATTATTTTTAATATAACCATTGACATACAATACATAAAATATATACAATTTTATAGTTCATACCCTTAGATGGAAAATTGTTATCAACTTCATTATTGGAAGTTGACTGTAATAGTTCTGTGGCTTCATTTGGAGACAAGTGACTAGTTGCATCTAAAATAGTTTATAATTCAATATAATATTACTTATCTTATAACATGTCATACTACATAAGTATTAAGTGTATACAATTTATTGGTCTTACTCTTAGAGGCAAAGTCTTTAATTGGCGGAATTGGTAATGTAAAAAGGGCTTCTGTTTTTTTTTTCTTTATTATTATTTGATCTTGCTTGTTTTTTTTAATAGTTCTCTTTCTTAGTTTAGTGTTCTCTATGTTATAATTATCTTCATCGCTACTAATATCAGTACCAGACCAGGCTTTCGACACACGCCTTGCTTGGAGTTCGTTGTCTATAAAAAAAATCTATATCAAACAATTATTAAAGAACAAAAATGAATAAAAATGTACTAACCAAATGGTCCTGCAACTTTGATTGCTTTATACATTAATCCATCATACATATTATATGGAGAACATTCTAGTATCATCCTTTTGATTTGTTTTGAATTAAAGAATGTACCATCTTTATTGTCAGATTTAGATACAGGAAACCAGCATTTTTTTTCTGATACATACCATGAGGATGGTACATGTTGTATCTCATTTGTTTCTTCAAATAAAACTACTGACCAAGATGACCTTAATATAGTTTAAATCAAATATATATATTATGTAAAAAATATTACTGTATTAATTTAACAGTTGAAATAAAAAAAATAATGAGTAATATTAATATTTATTTTATAATATAATTAAAAGAATAGTAAATAAATATAAAATATTATTGGTAGGATGAATTAAATTTCAAACTAATAATACAACAAATAATACTAACAAATATGAAATTAAAATCAACATTTAATGTATTTCAACTATTTGAAAATTAAAATTGAATAAAAAAAGATTTATAGGTATTCATACATATGAAATATATAATTTATGAGTGTATAAATGGTACTATGACAGAAATTGTATCATTCACTGGCATACAAATAACTTTTTCTTGAATGTCATCTAAGAGCCAATATTTTAAACAACCTAATAAACTTGCTTCATAAATTTCGAAAAGACTAGAAGAACATGGACTACTGAAGTATTCAGATACTTTTTCATAACGTCTTCCAATAACAATTATTTGGGATGTATTAATTTTACTTGATGCAATATTTTCTATTTTGACTATATCACCATTAATCATTTTTACATGATTATTAGCCTTGTTCAGTTTAATAGAAAATTTTCTAGTTCTCCAACCAGAAAATTGTGGTTCACAGGCTTCTTGTAACATAGGTCTATTTTCTAATTTATTTCTTATATTGATTGGACCATTCTTGTTTATAGATGAAAGGTCGTCATGTATATAGTGGTTGTATGCCCGTATTTCGGCATATCGTAATGCTAATTGTTGTAGAGGTTTCACACCAGTTTTAATTTTTTTTTTTAATGGTTGCATAAAGTTTTCAAAGGGGAAAGCAGAAAAAGAATCTAATGATCCAAACTTTTTTGAATCTTCAGCTATATGTATAAGTGCATGTATATTATGTGACATATATATTTTACCATAAATTGTCTTGAATGAAGAAACAAAATGACGAAGAAGTTGATTTGCATAGTTATTATATTCTTCAGAGCAATTATCTTTTACAAGTATTCGAATTGCAACAAATAGTTCTAAAAAATGATTGTAAGCCTCATCACTTAAAATATCTCTAAAAACCACACAACCTAAATATAATAAACACTGTCTTAATTCTGAAGCCTTCCATCGACTAGCATCTCGTATGGGATGACGCCGACTATTTTCTTGGAATTTTCTTTGAAATTCATCAGGTGTGAATTCAGCTAACTTATTGAATCTTTCATCTAGCAAAGTGATCAAATTGGATGGCAGTGTCTGTACATGTTTCGGTGACCCAGTCCAAAACAAAAGTAGTTTTTTCATAACACCAATGCATACGCAGTGCATATAATCAAATGGTATTGATTTCACAAGATCAAATGAAGCCAGTTCTGTCAAAATGGTTTTGCCATTATGAAAATTAATATCACTGTACTGAATAAATTGTTCATGAGTCCTTGGTGTTGAATCAATATTAGGAAAACATTCTCTTGAAGTATCCCATATACCTTCACTATGACACCGTACACATGATACTTTACCCGTATGTCCTTTTATGTTTAAAACAAATGATTTAGCTGGAGCATCACATATTAATGCTTGAAATAAAATTTTTATTTTCTTTGTTTTAAAATAAAATCCCGAGTCGATTAGTGTTTTAAGCTCTTCAACAAAATCAAACACAAATTCATTACAATCTAAAGGTTTTGACTTTCCATGATACACACCAATAATGAAAACATTTTTGTTTTCAGTAGGTACATTAGAAAAATATCCAAGAATAGGCCAAATCTGACTAGGCGGATTATTTGTAATTGGAAGACCGTCGATGCCAACATTTAACATTAAAACTGGTGGTGGACATTGCAAATTCTCAAGTAATTCACTGATTTCATTTTGCAATCCAAAGTGATGATAAATACCATCTTTGATTTTCTTAGTACAAATCTTTGTTGGAGTTTTTAATAGTGTCCGAGAATCTATGGGCATATCAGAAAATTCAGGAAATTGTTTAAGACTTTTCAACAAATCGCTTAATGCTGAATGAGTAATGCTATGTTTAATAGCCCATAAGGCTAATATTAATTTTAAGTCAATTTGTTCTGAAGACTTTGTTAAGAATGATGATTCTGATGAATTATTCGAGTCGGATTCATGATCTTCGCTTATATTTTCAAATATAACTTTACTATTGTTGACAGTGCTTTCAAGAGGACTGGTCGTATCTGTACATAAATTATCTAAGGACCAAGTATCTAAATTAACTTCATGAGAAGATTCATAGAAGATGTCATTAAGATGAATAGAATTAGAAGACTCATTTAAAACACTAGATGCTTGAGATTGAGTTTCAATATTATTAATGTTTGGCAAAATTTCAAACAAAGATGTAGCTTTTTTTCTTTGTCGGTAACGAGTGGATTTACTAAACTTAATATGTGAATTATACTTAGGCATTATTTTAAAAATTTTACTCACATTATTCTTAAACTGAATAGATATTGAAAAAATCCTGTAATAGCCTGTAGGTATACTGTTAGAAGGTAGGCACTGAAATAAAAATATATACCTAAATTTAGTTATAGCAATATAAATAAATAATCATAGAACAATTTATGTTGATATACATATATCTCAATATTTGTGAGTTAATATTGTAATAAATAACAAATAACTGCTTAATTATCTATAAATTAAAAATAATATAATAGGTACCTACAGTTGAGTAAAAGTTTCCTAACTATTCAATAAAAATTGAAATACAATTTATAATTCAAGTACATAATAACCATAAGATTTAAATTTATAATACCTATAGTATATGCTATGTAGTACTATAAATGAATAGGTATAATACGTACAATAGGACGATGGCTTAATTCAAAAATGTTGTAAACGTACATTACAAACCAATGGGATAATATAATAAAATATTCTGATTCTAACAATAAACTTAAACTTAGGCTTCAGAATAATGCAGATAATAATACTAATATGACATGTACAGAAGAAGTGTCTCATAATAATATTTATATATTTATTTATATTTTGCTTATTTGAATTTGAATGGTTGAATCAATTTTACCTGGATTTAAAATATAATTTAAAAAGTATATTATAGAAGCGGAGAACTATGCGATAGATGTGGCAACGGTGGTATGCGTATCACAAAGTTGTGATCATACCTATTTATTTAGTCATAATATAGACATTATTATAGTTGTTACCTTATAATTTATAATGAGTTAAGTTGTATACATCAATCAAAATCTTAGTTTTTATACCAGATATCCGGGCTAATAACTACCTATAGGTACCTAGGTACCTAGGTATTGTATAATTATGTTTATAATAGACATTTTTAAAAAATATGTACCAGTATCATAGGTTACTATTTATTATTATGCATTCGTAGGCACATATCTACTCAATAAATTAAACAACTGCTAAATATGTGCTAGGTACGTTTTTAAATCATCTTAGTATTTGTTTAGCATAATTTACTCAATTTGAAAAAAATTGATCTTACAAGATATGTGAATCATAAAACAATAATGGATGTATATTTCACAGAAACCATTAGTTACCTAGGTACTATATATGGCCCAGTTTAAATTCTTTATTAAAACATTTAAGTATTGAGGACCACCTTTTTAATATGCTTAAGATCCAAATATCTATCTCCCTATAGGCATGCCTACTTTAATAGTACATTAGTACCTACTTTTAATTGTAATTAAGATTTATTATAAACATTAAAATAATAATATAATGTTAGGAAGGAACTTACCTTTTACTATATTATAAACGTCCAATCGAAAGTATGAGAGTGCAAAAGACACTAATAATTCACTATTCAGTATTCACCTTTCATGAAAGTTCACAATTATTGCATTATTACACCATAATATAATTTAATATTTGTTACAGCGCAGCGTAGGTAAATGCTATCGTTATTCGTTATTCGCGAGGTTATTCGTTAGCAGTTGCCTTTGCCTGCAGCTGAGGCGCGCTAGTGGCGACGTGGTGAAGTAGTCGGCGATAACGATATGGAAAAACCCGTAAATTCGTACTGTGATTCGTTAATCATAATACATAAATACTTTACACATCCACTAGCACCACCGCACGGTGTTATACGAACACCGCTGCATCTTTTATGCATCAAATTATTATTATTTTAAAATAGATGTACTATAATATTATATAGGTATTATATTATTATATTAGTTTGCATAATTTCAGTTTTTAACTTGGAGAGGCTTTACTTATTTAAATCAAACAGACTCGTAAGGAGCTCTGTCCATTAGGAGGTGCTTGGACATTTTTCAAAGCCTCCACAGCTTATTTTGTAAANAATATTATATAGGTATTATATTATTATATTAGTTTACATAATTTCAGTTTTTAACTTGGAGAGGCTTTACTTATTTAAATCAAACAGACTCGTAAGAAGTCATCAGCCATACCAAAATTATTAACATTTTTCAAAGCCTCCACAGCTTATTTTGTAAAGAAACATCTAACCTCCCCTAAAATTCAATCAAATATATGCCCCACACCTGTTAAAATAGCATTTCAATATTTTCAAATACAAATATCGTATTTTTTACACGCAATTTTCAAGTGACAAATTGAACCCAGAAAGCGATATCAGGGCCGCATTTTCGGGGTGCCAACTTTTTGTGGTAGGAAATTTGTTCCCTTGTGAATTATTAAAACTTTTAAAATTTAAATTATACCAACGCAAAATGAAATTAATACAAATTGAATCTTGTGACAATTATAGCCTATAGGCTCCTAAAACTATTCAGGATAATAATTTTATACCTATGGTT